TACATAGCTGTTTCTATTTCAGTTAATGACTCTGTTTCAACTACATATGAAATTGATGATCATTAGCACTTGCTTGGTATAATTGGTTAATCATACACATGACTCTAATCCTACAAGATCCCTGACTTTGTGCAAGTGTACAAAGTGTGCAAGTGTAAGAATTGATGCTGTTTTTAAGGCAAAGAATAGTCACACCAAATACTGATTTGATTTGGGTTTCTCTTCTGTTTGCTCACTTTGCATTTTGTAAATTGATAAACCTAAATAATTACAATATATGATTTTGAAAGCATTCTTACTTTACAGTATTTTTTCACACCTGCATAAAACTTTTGCACAGTACTATATTTTTGCCCATCTGGTATGTTCCAGCAGAGTGGGTACGCTCCAGGTCTCTTCTATTAAATGTTGTCATCTTACATTGATGCGGCCCCTACCCTTTGGAACAGCATCCCCCCAGAGATACAGACAGTGTCGTCTCTCCTGGGGTTCCAAATATCACTTATGACCTGGCTTTGGCCTCAGACCTGGGGTTGATGTGTTTGTGGGGCCTTTGGTTTGATTTGGTTTGATTTATTATTATTAAGACAGTTTTAGCCTGGGTTGCCTGTGAGGATGTATGTTTCTAACTGCTTTTATTGTTTTACATTTGTATTTGTGATACAAATTGGGAGTGGGTGGCTATAAATACATTTGAAATAATAATAGTAATAATAATAATAGGACTCAGTAGGTGGATAAAAATCCCAAATCCAGTTTAAAACATCTGGCTGACTGCAACCAACACAATAATAATAACAACAACATAAAAACAGGATCATACCATCTGACAGAGAATTAGAACAGATGTAATAGAGGAAGAATAGGGATTGGCAAAGAGGGCAACAAATGTCATGTTGGTATAAATTTTTCTTTCCCCACCCCCTACAGGTGGATATAGCAGTTTAACTCAGCACTGGTAAAAGGCCCAAATACTCAGTGCAGTCCAAGAAGACTGATTTTAAAAATACTGGGGGGGGGGGGGCAGGGGGAGGCAGGAATTGGAGGAGATGTGTTGAATAAGGCTTTTCTTCCTCACTGGCATAGTAAGAATGCAGGGTCATTCACACACGCTGCTTCCCCAACTTGGTGCTTTGCACATGTGTTAAACTGTGACTCCTACTGTCTGAAGCTGGCATGTCCAATGGTCATGACAGCTGGTAAAATAAGAACAGTGGTTCAGCTCAACCTAAGGCACCAGGCCAGAGAAGACTGCCCAAGTAAATTTGAATAACGTTTTCTGTGCACTTCCTTGAACTGGTATATAATAATCTCTTCGTCAAACTTTAGTTGGCCAACAGTTCTGATTACTTTTAAAGGGGATTAGAAATATTGAGATCTATCATTTTTAATTAAGATGCTATATGCTATATAAAAAATACATGTTTAGAAGCAAGGAGATCTTGAATAATAGCTGCTGGGAGAACTTTCCACCAACGTATCTGGAAGAGATAAGGCCAACTGGCTAGTTATTTCTTAGCTCATATGAATCTTATGTTAGTTGCTTTCCAAACCTCCAGTAATGAGGCTGTTTTAATATTTTGTTTCAAGTTTTCCAGTGGATCCATTTCAACCTAATCATTTGGGAACTCTCAGGTTCTTACCAACCTAAAAGGAGGGATATGTAAAGTTCCAATTATTTGGAAGGGAAAATTCAAAATTTGAATTTCTGATACCCAATAATGAGAGGACTGAATGGCAAAGCAGCTTCTTTTTTGTTTCCATAGCTGAAAATATGAATTTTTAAAAAATCAGAGGTCTTTTTTTAACAGTACTGAATGCTGTATTTTAGTCTCTTGGAGTTTTTATTGTCAGTTCTATCAGTTCTATGCAAAATACACTTGAGCTGAACTATTTTTCTCTTTAAGCATGTGTAAATTCCCCACCTTTACACCGAGCTGGTTGTTTCTCTGATCCCTTCTCTTCTGATGTTTGTCACGCAGTGAAACCAATCTCTCTCTCTCTCTCTCTCTCTCTCTCTCACACACACACACACACACTGCCTGAAGTTATTCGGGTTCTTCTTCTTCTTCTTCTTCTTCTTCTTCTTCTTCTTTTAAGACCATTTGATTTTCCCAGAGTTGATTTTTTAAAAAATTCTGTCACATTTCGTCTTCAAAGTTTCCGCCCACGTGACTTTCAGTCAAGTCCCTTGTGGCTTCCGAGAAACCACATCAGCTAAGCCCTAAAGGGAGGCGAAGACCCGCGCGAGATGCATTGGTCCGTAGGCCGAGGAACGTAGCCGCTGGCAGGCGCGGTGCGAGAAGAGCGGAGAAAGTGACCGGCCGGCTCAGCGCCCGGGAGAGAAAGGGAGAGGAAGGGTCAGGCTAAAGGAAAAGGCGGAGAAAGACCGCGAAGGCCTGAAGGAAGGAGAGGGAGTCGACAGGCAGGGGGTGCTGTGAGCCATGCCCCATAGCTCTGACAGCAGTGACTCCAGCAGCTTCAGCCAGTCCTCTTCATCCAGCAAACAGGTACTGTGGGGCCACTTTCCGTCGATTTAATGATACGCTTAACAGTGTTTATTTCTAGCAAGGCTCCAGTACCCTGGAGGAGCAGCCTAGTGGAATTCAACAGGTGAATTTTGCCATGGCATAAGGATCAAGGGTTGGGGAACTCTTCACTAACTGCATGTCTCTCCTTTGAATCAGACTGACCATTCTGATTCAAGGGGAGGCAGAAGTTAGAGACGGACTACAATTCCCAGAATTCCAATCAGCTAGACTATCAGTTGCAATTCTGGGATTTGTGGTTCTAACATCTATGGAGGGCTGCTGGTTGGGGAAGACTGGTCTAATGGAAGATTTCTGAGTGGTTTGCATTAGAATTGTTTGGTTCCAGCAAAAAAGAATCTTATCTTCCTATCCAAAATTATCCTGCTGTAATGAGGAAAGCTCTGGGTGACCCAGTTTTTCTGCAAGGGGCTAGAGGCTGATCAATACATTAAAAGGTGTTAAGGATGGGCTTTTCCCTTACGGAGGCATGTGGTAAATTTTCAAATATTGAAATATCAACTTTTTGCCTTCTTAGGAATGGGACCTTAAACTTGAAAAAAAAAAATACTTTAGCTGTGTGCAAAACACTCTTAGATTTATATTTTAAAGAGGGGTAAAGGAAATTCCACAGGACTACACAGCTAGATATTATCAATGAGAGACAATGAAATTTCATCACCATAAGATTTTAAAAATCTTGACTAGTTTGGGATAGAAATGTTGGATTCTTACATCAAACCCAATGCAATGTATGTCTAGTGAAAGGTTCCACTGAGTTCTGTGGAGCTTACTCTCAAGTAAGAGGGTACATATATACATACCTATTATGCTATTCTCCTTAACCAAAGTTACACAGAGTGCAGAAAAGAAGTAAGGAATAGAAAGATAAAGAGATTAAAGGCAAGAAGATAAGAACAGATAATGAAAGGAAAGAGCTAAAACTAGTTTACACAAACATTACTCACTATACCTCTCCATATCCTTGCAAACCTTCCTTGGTTTCACCAGGTCCATATACTGCTTCATACCTTGCCTTTTGTTCTTTAATCTACTCATTTCTCTCTTTTCAAGGATCTCAGCTCCATCCAACCATGACTTTCTTGGTCTGTTCAACATCTACCCATTAATTCATCACCTTATCTGTTCTTGTTTTACTGCACACATTTCTTAAATACCCCTTCAACTTCAACTAACTTTCGTGTTTCCCCTAGCATACCCAACTTTTACTTCCATAAACAAAGTGGCAGAAGCATACTTTTTATATACAGCCATTTTTGCTTCCCCCCACCAAATGTTCATTCATTCACAACAGACCATGTAATTCTTTTCTATCAGCATTTGCACATCTTAAAATTTCTCCATCTATTTCCCCAATTTTAATAAACATTCTACCAAGATATACCAATTCATCTACTTGCTGTAGCTTTTTACCAGTTATATATAATTTGCAATCATACATTCCATTTTCCCTATCAAATGTAACTAATTTAGTTTTAGATACGTTAATTTTCAGATCCATACTTATTACACTTTACAATCTATTTGCTGCAAATAATCTGGGTTCTCAAGCAACAACATAGCATCATTTGCATACAAAATCATACATATATTCACATCTTCCACCTTCCACCTCTAAAATCACCACAGGCTTTCTTTCACTGATTGTTTATGTGCCATCAAGTTGGGGTCAAGTCTTAGCAACCACATAGGGAGACCTTCTCCAGGGTGTTCTGTCCCCATCCTGGCCCTTCAGGTCTTTCAACGGTGTACCTATCACCTGTTTGTGTTCATACATCATACATTCCTGGTCCATACATTTCAAAGGCATCAGTTTGGAAAAGTATGTCTGCATTTCAGGAATCTTCTGATGAGATGAGGAAAGTACAAAGAAGAGAAAAGAATCGCATTGCAGCTCAGAAGAGTCGGCAGAGACAGACACAGAAAGCAGATCACCTGCACTTGGTAAGTGCTTCCATCATCTTCATCTGGATTTCTGGGACATGTTGTTGTTATCTTTATTTAAATCTGGCCTTTCTAGCCAGAAGACACTCAAGGCAAACATGTTATTTTTATTTATTTATTTATAATTTTTATATAGCTGCCCATCTCACACAAAGTGACTCTGGGCGGCGTACAACAATGAAAAAGAATAAATACATAAAAACAATTACAAACCAAAAACTACAAAAGCACACAGAACAGGAGGGGATAAAATTAATATGATATGAAATATGATTCTGCCAAAACTCACTGAGGGTAGAGGTAAATCCAAGAAGAACTGTGGCTGTTGTCCATGTGAACCAATTGACAGCTAGCAAGTATTCAGTCCTAACATGCACATCCATCTTGGCCTAGCAGTAAACACACCTGTGGGCATCTGCTGGCTTGGCCTGTGAATGGATGTGATTTACAAACTAGCTAACCAAGCCACAAAAAATGTAATGTAATGTAATGTAAATATGGAACTCTGACATAGGCCTGTGGCAATAATTTAAAAAACTGCTTGACCTATAAAACTGTGAAGCAGCAGTAACTTCTCCAACACTTTGCATGGTTTCATTGAGGCAGTCCTAAGGTCTTCTGAGTAGCACCTGGAGATTGCATCAACTGCTCAGAGCCTTTGGGAATGGGTGGCATACCAGTAAAGTAAATATATATACAAAATGTGGTGAAAAAAATGGCTAAATTTTGATGATACATTTTGGGGGGTTGGGAAAGGTTTTAAGGCTGAAAATTGTAACATTTCCCTCCCTGGGATTTCCCATTCCCATCTTTAAAACATCCAAATGGCAAAAATGGCCAACATTGGGGGGGTTTTGTTTGGGAAATGTTGAAAATAGATATGGGAATAATTTGCCAGAGGCCACTACTTTCCATTCCCAACTTTAAACATCCCTAAATATCAAAATGTAGGTTAAAAAACCTCAGCCTCATCTCTTTAGATGACATCTCTTCTTCAGATGGCCTTCTGTAGCCTCCTACTAGGTCAAACTTGTGGCAATCTGAGGGTCATGAGATAACACCCTCTTGAGCTTTTCCCATCTTCTCATTTATATTTATCTTTGTGATAAATGGGTCTTGAGATTCATCAGAAGCCACAAAGGATACCCAAATCCTCCTGTTCCACCTACCCCAAATGACTTGCACATCTGGTCAGTACTATTGCAGAGCTATTTGGTCAACAGCTAATCTATACCTAAATTTTGATGATCATCTTTTTTAATAGTAATTTTATTAAAAATTACCATTAAAAAGATAAAAATACAAACTAAAAAAAAGAAAAAAATAGAAAGCGCAGAAAAGAAAAAAATAGAAAAGAAAGAAAAAATAAGAATATAGTAAAGAAAAAGAAAAGAAATATATAAAGAAATGACTTCTCCCTTCAAGTATAAACAATTTTAATAATGTATCACCTTCTCTTAAAATAAAACAGATGATCTCTTCTTCCCACATCCCATCTCATATCTATAAACAAATCCTTAAAACCTCATTGTTTCAGTCCTGATCAGCAAAAGTCCATTAAGGGTTATTAGAGATAACAGATAGATAATATCTATTTTAACCTTGTTCAAATAAACCAACTTTGTATTCCTTCCTTTTACTTTTAACAATCTTGATGTTAAAATCTTGAGTCCCTTCAAATAATGTCCTAGAACTTGATTTCTTTTCA